ATCTGATCCAAGGAAGAAGCATACAGATTGGCCAAGGAAAATAGTAAATCTGAGGATTGGGAGCAGTTTAGAATTCAGCAAAGAAGGACCAAGGGATTGATAAAGAAGGGGAAAATAGAGAATGAAAGTAAGCTTGCAGGGAAGATAAAGACTGACACTAAGAGTTTCTATAGGTACATGAAGAGAAAGAGATTGGTAAAGACAAATGTAGGTCCCCTACAGATGGAAACAGGGGAATATATAATAGGTAACAAAGCAATGGCTAAAGAACTGAATACATACTTTGGTTCTGTCTTCACAAAAGAGGACATAAATCAGATACCAGAATTGTTGGAGAATGTAAGATTTAGTGAGAAGGAAGAACTGAGGGAGATCAAAGTTAGTAAAGAGTTACAGATGGATAGCAAACTGGTTGTCAGAGAGGAAACAAAACATAGGAATTCATGGGTCCTTTTCAAATTGGCAGGCAGTAATTAGTAAAGTGCCACAGGGATCGATGCTAGGATCCCAGCTATACACAATATATATTAATGATTTGGATGAGGGAACAAAATGTAAGATCTCCAAGTTTGCAGATAATACCAAGTTGGGTGGGAGGGTAAACTGTGATAAGGATGCAGAGATCTTTCAGCATAAGCTTGACAGGTTGGGTGAGTGGGCAAATCAATGGTAGATGCAGGATAATTTGGATAAATGTGAGGTTATTCACTTCAGAAGCAAACTACTACCTGAATGGCTGTAAATTGGGACAGGGTACTGTGCAGTGGGACCTGGGAGTCCTTGTGTACCAGTCACTGAAGGTAAGCGTGCAGGTGCAGCAGGCGGTAAAGAAGACTAATGGAATGTTGGCCTTCATCACGAGACGTTTCAAGTACAGGAGCAGGGATGTGTCGGTGCAGTTATACAGGACCTTGGTGATGCCATACCTGGAATATTGGGTGCAATTTTGGTGTCTTTTTCTGAGGAAGGATTCTCTTGCTCTCAATGGAGGGCAGCGAAGCTTTACCAGGCTGATTCCAGGGATGCCAGGTCTCACATTTAAGGAGAGATTGACTAGGTTGGGATTATTTTCACTAGAGTTCAGACAAATGAGGGGGCATCTCATAGAGACTTTTAAAATTCAGCAGGACTGAACAGGGTAGATGCAGGGTGGATGTTCCCAATGGGGGGTGTGTGTGTCCATAACCAGGGGTCACAGTCTGAGGATTCAGGGTAGACAATTTAGGACAGAGATGAGGAGACATTTCTTCACCCGGAGTGGTGAGCCTGTGGAATTCATTACCACAGGAAGTAGTTGATGTTAAAACATTGAATGTATTTGAGAGGCGACTAGATATAGCACTTGAGGCAAATGGGATCAAAGGTTATGGGGAGAAAGCAGGATTAGGCTATTGAGTTGGACGATCAGCCACAATCGTGAAGAATGGCACAGCAGGCTCGAAGAGCCGAATGGTCTCCTCCTGCTCCTACTTTCTATGTTGCTATGCATCGACCAGGGTGGATAGAGGGGAGCCAGTAAATGGGTTGTATTCGGACTTCCAGAAGTTTGACAGGGCACCTCACAAGAGCTTAAGTCATAACATAAGAGTCCATTGTATTGGAGGTAGTATTTTGGCATGGAGAGAGAACTGGCTAATAGGCAGGAAACAGCAAGTAGGGATAAAGTGTTCTCTTTCAGGTTGGCGACCTGTACCAACTTGTGGGGGGGGGGCGTTCCTCAGGGATCAGCACAACTGTTTACAGTATAGATGTTAATGACTCGGAGGAAGGAAGTGAATGTACTGAAGCCAAATTGTAGACGACACAAAAAATAAGTGCAAAGGCAAGTTGTGAGAGAGATACAGTTTGCAGAGAGATAGTGATAGGTTAATTAGGTGGGAAAATATGTTGGCAAATGGAGTATAACGTGGAAAATTGTGATTATATTCATTTCGGAAGGGAAAACAAAAGAACAGTATATAATTTAAATGGAGGAAAACTGCAGAAAGCTGCATCACTAAGGCACTTGAGGGGACTTGTGCACGAAACACAAGGCTAACAAACAGGTGCAGCAGGTAATCAGGAAGGCTAATGGAATATTGGCCCTTATTTCAAGGGGTTAGAGTTTAAGAACAGGGAAGTCTTACTGCAACTGTACAAATTGCTGATAAGACTACATCTGGAGTACATGAACAGGTTTGGTCTGCTTATTTAAGGCAAGATATTGTTTCTTTGGAGGCAGTTCAAAGAAGGGTCACTCAGATGATCCCCTGTAAGGAGGGATCATCTTATGAGTACAGGTTAAACAGGTTGGGACACTACTCATTGAAATTTAGAAGAATAAGTAATGATTTCATTGAAACATATAGGATCCCTAAGGGGCTTGACAAGGTAAATAATGAAAGGATGTTTCCCCTCATGGGAGAGTCTAGGACCAGAGAGCATAGCCTCAGAATTAAGAGGTGCCAATTTTAGACTGAGATGAGGAATAATTTCTTCTCTGAGGGTTGTGTCTCTTTGGAACTCCTTGCTACAGAGAGTTGTGGGGGCAGAGTCCTTGTGTATATTTAAGGCTGAGATAGATAGATTCTTGATCAATAGGGGAATCAAGAGTTATGGGGAAAGGACAGGAAAGTGGATGTGACGAGTGTTGGATCAGCCATGATCCTACTGAATGGTGGAGTAGGTTTGAGGGGGCGAACAGCCTTTTTGTGTTCCATTTCTTATAGTCTTTGACTTGGAGAAGGTGAGATGAATTTAAGGAATCATTTTTCAAAGTGCAAATGAGACTTGGCTAGGCGAAGGAGGATGGTGGTAGGGGCTGTTGTCTTTTTTTCAAAGGAAGAAGCAGAGTACTTAGGCGATGAACGTGAAGCGAGATTATACATCCATGGTTAAGAGGAGGCAGCTAGGGTCAGAAAAATGGAACTGTGGACCCGATGGAATGTGTCAGAATAATTACAAATGGAAGAGACTGACCAATATGGACAACAAAATAGAATCAAGCTAGAAGAGACATATTCAGTGGGAAGGAACAAGCTGAAATGATGGGCCATCCAGGCCAGTCCTGTTCCATTATTTGTTGAAGCAGATATTTTTAAAAAGCAGAGAAGGCTCGATAGGCAAAATGACCCACTGGTACTAAGTCATAGATTCATGTATATAAAATTACGATAAAGGTGGTGAAAAACGGAGACACTCATGGAAAAGCAGTTGAGTAAAAAGTTTTTCCATATGGAGAAATGTGAAGTACTAAATTTTAAAAGAAGAATATGGTAAGGAGGTATACCTTAAATGGTAAGATTTTAAATAGAACAACAGAAACACCATAGCGTGAAGACACAACAATACGAGTAAGGTCATAAAAAGGCAAACATAATTTTGTTTTTAAGGTGTACAGAATATAAAAACAAGAGGTAATGTTGAACTTTAATGTTAAAGGTGGTGGTGAGTTATCTTCTTGATGCACTTCACTTGATGCAGTTCATGATGGGTAGGGACACCCACAATGCTGTTAGGATAGGAGTTCCAGGATATTGACCTAATGACAGTGAAGGAATGTCAATATAGTTCCAAGTCTGGATAGCGTGTGACTTGGTACCTGTAAGTCTTGGTGCGATCATGTACCTATGGCTCTTGTCCTAAAGCTGATAAAGGTTGCAGCTCTAGAAGTTGGTGTTGAAGTTGTCATGGATAGCTGCTGCAATTCAACTGGTACATGCTGCTGCCACTGAGTGACACTGATGGAAGACATGAATGATTGTGGTGGTGGATACTTTGTCTTGCATTGGAGCTGCACTCAGCCAGACGAATGGAAATTATTCCATCATACACATGACTTGTAGACTAGATAATGGGCAGGCTTTAGGGAATTAGGAGTTGAGTTACTTGGCATAGAATTCCTAATCTCTAACTTGCACTTGTAGCCACAGTATTTATATGGCTAATCCAGTTCAGTTTCTGGTTAATGGTAACCTCCAGGATGTTCATAGTGGGGCATTCAGTGATGATAATGCCATTAAATCTCAATGAATTATTTCAATTTATACCAATTCTGCAGGAAATAGTTTTCCTTGTATACTTTAGTAAAATCTTTCCCAATTTTTAACATATCTATCAATCCTTCCCTTAGCTTCCAATATTCTAATGAAATGAGTTGTTCACAGTTAAATATCTGTGTTTAACGAGATTATATGTTTGTATCTTGGAATCTTCCAAACAGATACACTTAAATAAATAATGCAAGAATACAGGTAGCTATGTATATGAAAAGGGCCAAAAGGCATATTGGGAACCACAAATACTCAAGGAGCAAAATTAAATCACAATCCATGGTTCCTGCATACAGACCTACCAAATACATTTCAGCACCTTCAGTGCTCCTGATATTTTAAGTAAAAAACAATTATTTCAAATGTGGGTGTTTGCTTTTGCAGAGGTACGATGGTGCTGACAGTCTAGTAATGGCTTCAAATGAAAGGTGCTGTGGTATGTTGCTGATATTGCTCTATTCTTGCAATAAATACTATTCACGTTGTGCAGTGGCTTGAACTTTGTAAAATGTCATACAAGATAAATGGCTCACTTCATGTCACATTTTAGATTATATTATTAAATTGGAGTCACCTACCAGATTATTGTATCCAGACTGATGGTCGTCGATGGGAGCATTATAACTGTAATATTTGAATATTTTGTTTCTTTCAAATAAAACAATTCTATCTATTTTGAAATGTAATAACTATGACTAAGAAATTACTACGTGCACATCATATTCCATATTAATGTCCATATTTTAAAATAAAAAATGTTGTTATTTCAAGAAATTGGATAGAGCTTTGATAACTAACTTTACTGCAATCTCTTCAGTTATGATCAAGTTAGGAACATTAAAAATATATGAGTAAAAAAAAATGAAGATATTTGATTCAAAAACAAATTACTAAATAAAAATCCCATATAATTATCTTAAGGTTAGAAGAGCCAAAAAATGTGGAGATATATTTTAAACAGCAAAGTACCTGCACATTTCACGCCTTGAGCAATCAGACCCCACATAAAATTGGCACAGTACTCACACCAGTGAGGTCCTCGGAATGTGTGAACCTGCAGTGTATCAGCCACATTACAGAAATAAGATCATGCAACAAAATTAAGCGGTTTGATGAATAGTTTAACACCACGAATTATTCAAGAAAATAGTTTGATTAAAATATGCAATTTTAACAGAACTGAAGAGCAGAAAAAAAATCTTAAAATAATGGTAGTTGCATAAGGTTGTAAGTGGTTATATAAAATCCAGTTGATCTTAACTTCTCATTTAATTGCTTTTGTTACCAATTTTAAAACGTTGAAAGACAAAAGGAAATGATATGGTCATTGAGTGTATTTTTGTATTTTGAAAAATTTCTTTTGTGGGGCGTGGGTGTTGCTAGAAAGCCTGCAATTTGTTGCTACTTCCCTGAATGCCCTTTAGAAGGTGGTGGTGTCTTCTTAAATCACTTCAGTCAATGGGGTGAAGGTACCTTCATAGTGCTTTTAGGGAGGGAATGACAAATTTTGACTCAGAGACAGAGAAGGAATTGTGATACAATTCCGTGTTAGTGTAGTCTTGTCTTGGAAGCAAACTTGCTTTTGCTGCCCTTGTCCTTCCAGCTGGCAGGTATCTTGTTTTTGCAATGTGTTGTCAAGTGAGCCTGTAGCTGCAGTGCACTTTGTTGATGGTACTCTCTACATCCACTGTGTGTCAGTGGCGGAGTTTCAAAATGTTGAAGGTGGTGGACGGCGTACCAGTCGAATGGGCTGCTTTGTCTTGGATAGTGCTGAACTTCTCAAATGTTGTTGGAGCTGCATTCATCCAGGCAATTGGAGAGTATTCCATCACACTTCTGAATTTTGCCTTGTAGATGGTGGACAGACTTTGGGAGTCAGGTGTTGACTCACCATGGAATTCACAGCCCCTGGCTACTCTTGTTAGGACAGTATTTATATAGCTGGTCCAGTTCATTTTCTGGTCAATGGAAACCCTTCGGATGTTGACAGTTGGGGATTTAACTATGGTAATGCCATTGAATGTGAAGGGGAGATGGTTCATAATATCACTTATTACGTAATATACTAAATGGAGAGCAATGTCTGTAGGTGGCGACATGAGTGGAGATGCATTACCATGGCAACCATCAGTGATGTTACTGCAGTGGTATTAACATTTTTAAATATTCAGGAACCTAATGAGGTATTTAATTAAAGTTTTCAAAATAAAAAAAATTTAAAAAGCATAAATCTAACAATTATTTTAAAATCAAACATGCAGTTAGTAAAGTGCCCAGAATAAACAAATACAAATTAATATGCATGACTTAAGTTTTTTTATTCCTAAATTGTTATAAACTGCAGTGCTTAAGTGGAAGAGGGAAATGACACAAATTTTATCAGCTTAGGAATTTGCAACACATTTTTGCAGAAAAATAGACTAACATTTTCTTTTTTGGTGATGTAAAGGAGTATTTCATTAGGAATAATCTTTTTTAGCTATTTGGTTGTATATTTAATGTATTATGAAAAAGCACACAGTCATAAGTAATATTAAATTTCTAGGTATCAACATCCATTAAGAACTTTATTCCAACCAAATAAAGCAGTATTTACTCTCTGAAAATATGCTATGTCAACCAAACTGTACTTAGATAACATTAACACTTGCATGTATAAGCGAAGTCAAGCAGGTTACTGAATCAGCTGATGAAATTTAAGGCATCTATAAAATCAAATTATGTGGAGATTCTCAAGTGGAAACAAACTGATGTTATATTTTTGTTCATTAAATTAAAAAACCTAAGTACACAATATATGATTACTGAATTCTAGAAACCAAAGTAGTTTCTTCCTCCAACAAAATCAGAGGACCTGCAAGGCAGTTTTTGAGAAAGTGTAACAAGCAATTAGTGACTCCTGCAAATAATTTCTAATGAAATGTATGGCCATAAATATTTAGCAAGTCTTAAACAAGCTATGATTAAGGCACAAGATGCTGTACTACGAGTGCAGGTTAGAAATATAAGCTACTATAAGAATAAAAATTTAAAAAATGGAATTATACTAGTTATCTCACAAATCTATTCACATCTGTTCCATTGGCAAAGGAACAAAATGCTATGAAAACACATACATTCTTCAGGGACATCTCTATTTATAAACTGGTAGGAAGGTTTCAAAACAGAAAATATTAGAAATAGGATATTTTGCTCATGAGAGTAGTTTCAGCGAGCTCTACACTTTTCAACGCAATTAATTCATTAGCAAACGAAGGTTTCACGAGAAAAAAAACTGATGTAAGCCAGATGCTAGTACCAGTCAAGACAACCCCAACTCTGGGACTCAAGACAGGTCATTTGCATTGATAATTAAAAAGATTCATATTCATCTGGTTGAGAAAAGTATAGCTGTGATTTTAAGTGAGGATCAAATACTACATAAAATTAATTTGATACAGCTAATGCATCCTTTCAAAGAACTGACAAAATGCAGGCTTTACTATCACCAAAACTATGTTATTCTTTATATCTGAAAGGGGAAAAGCTCTTTATGTTTTAATTGTTAATTTCATGAATAATTTAGCCTTTGAAGGAAATCTATGTTTGAAGTTTAAATAAATATTCATCAGGAAACATATATGGACTAATATTTTTTGAATAATAATGTAAATTTAACTGCTACATGATAATATAAGCAAAGTTTGAGTGATATAGTTTGTTATTAATTATTTGGTTGTACACTAGGGGAAAATCCAACTCAAATTCCCAATGACAATTAGAATTTAGGTTCATAATAACTCTACTATACAATGGACTAATTTATAAAATATATAAGTGAACTGATAGCTAAAATATATGTTTGAAAATCTATACATCTATTCTTGGCTGAGTATATCAAATTCAATTCCTTACCTTAAAATTATGTACTTTTTCATATTTTGGAATCCGTTCATTTTCCTTCAGAGTGGCTCTTCGAACAAGTGAAGTCAACTGTGAATAAGCAAACAGTTTTAGTGGTTGCCACAGGGATGTAGATGCTTTCTGGGGTGCCATTCTCATTCCTACCAAAACATCTTGCTGATGGTTCTCTTCCTTAGACTCACGAATTAGGAATTTGTAAGGTTTTCGACCTGACCAATACTCCTTAGAAGGCATTTGCTTGTACTTTGTAATTTTTATGACCAATCTGAAATAATAACTAATTAAAATAACAAATTAATTACAACAGATCAATGAAGAGACCTAGATTATGTTCTGTTTAAATGGAACACTATGTCATGTAATTTTCTAAAGGCAACTTGAAGTAGTCAAACTTTCATTATCTACGTTCATAACAGATCTCTACATACATTTTCTTTTAAAATACACGACAAATTGAAAAATAAGCTAGCATGTGATTTGAAATATTATCCTTTGAAGAGATAAAATATCCAAGTCAGTCCATCCACTTAGCAACTCATTTCGGAACAGGACTTAAAAGCAGAGTGGGGCAAGCTTTAGCACCCATTTTCTCTGCATTTTTCAGATGGTCTCCTGAATTAGAGATGCTCCAAGTCGTGTCTTCAACCAGTTTGCGGATACTAAGCTCCTGACAACCTTATTCTCGAGGGGTGGGGGAGGGGGTGGGGGCTGGGTTTTGGCAGGCACAGTGGATTAGTCAGGTCACATTAAGAAATCAGCCAGCCAATAGCAAATCCCTGGCACTGATCCATTGTTCGCGAGGACTGTGAGCTTTCATCATGTTAGATTAAAATAACAACCATCAGTAGGAATAATGAGCAACGAATGAGTCATGCATCATTAAAAACACAACACACGTTAACTATATTTTAAATGAATCTCTAACACATCTTGGATACTTTTCTTACATTTAGTATTAAAAATATTTTATAACATTATTTATTGAAATGTTGAGCACCTTTTTAGTTACACATACAATCGTATCAGCTTTAATACCCTAAATCACTGCTTCCTGTGAATAGAAACAAAAACAGAACCACAATTTAGTCTATTTTCTCATATTCATGAGTATATTCGAATTAGAAATGTATTACACATTTCAAACTGGAATATACTCAGGGGGCTTTTCTCCAGAAACAGGATTAGTTATTGGAGAAATGACTCATTTTAATAACCAAATCAAATAAGACTAAGATATTCCATTTCTCTTTATCTTTAGAAAGCAGTTGGTTTGTCTGACTCTTCATTTATCGTAAACTTACAATTTTGGTAATATATATATTTTTCATGAGAGATAAGATAATAATTAAAACAATTGTGAGAGTGGTAAATCAATAGCATTAAATTATATTAAAATATAAAATAAGCTATTTGAATTATAGAATAAATGCTGACTTAAAAGGCTTCTTTGATATTTTGACAGTTTGCATTGATATTTGCTTTCAACATATAAATAATTCTAGGTGTACATGCCAAAGGAAAGGCTTTTCACTTTCTGAAGGCTACTGCCCAGGAACAATGCTATGACTGAAAACAAGCGTGCAGAGATATGGGCAGGTATTGCATGTGGACCCTGCGGCCAAGCACAAATCATACTGACACCTCATCATCACGTGTGAGGTATACAATCAATACACTGCTAGTAAGGTGCATGGTCAGTGTAGGACTGCAGAAGTGTAGGCTTGCAGTGAAGTGAGATGCAGGGTGTAGGAGTTACTACTGGCAATTTAATCCAAATTAGAAATTTGGTGCAAAGGGGACAGAAGTGCTTTAACTAGGGTGTACCGAAAAGCTAAACTCTCTGAGTGAGAGTTAAGTGGGAAAGGATGAAAAGTATAGATAGAAAACCCACTCTACAGTGAGACAGGGACAAAGTGAAGTTACAAAACAGCAGGAAAAGCTGATTAATGTGTAAGACTGGTGAATGTTTCGGTTTCCAGTGTTTTTCTTCTTTCGATTATTAGATTGATACTGGAGATTTTGTTTCTTGTTAGTTTATCATAACAATATATCAGTGCAGTAAAATTTAAAGACCAATGAATCTTGACTAAATAATCTGTAAGTTAAATCCATGATAGTGATGGCAGGATGGGTGATGTATCGCTGCTGCAATTTGTGGAAGCTGCTGGACACCAATGCGATTCAAAACAAACACATCTATAATAAATGTTTGCGGCTTGAGGAACTTTGCATCTGAATTGAAGAGCTAACGTCGGAGGTGCAGACATCGTGCCAGGTCAGGGAAGGAGAATGTTACCTGGGCTTTGTTCTGGAGGGCCTTGAGATTAGATAATTCAAAATTGGTCTGTAATCAGGGACAACAGGACATGACAACAGATGAGGCGAGTATGAGGACCCAGAGGTCGCAGTTGAAGAGCCGCTGCCCTTGCAGTGGTCCAAAATACAAGGTTTTTGTGAAATCTGCAAACTTTGGTACGTTCAAGTAAGCGAAGGAAATAGGAATGTGGTTGTAGTGGGGGGACAGTATAGTTAGGGGAATAGATACTGTTCCCTGCAGTAATGAGCACCTTCTCAGTGACACCCAGTTTGGGGTCCACCAGGGCCACTCAGCTCCTGACCTTATTACAGCCTTGGTTCAAACATGGACAAAAGAGCTGAACTCCAGAGGTGAGGTGAGAGTGACAGCCCTTGACATCAAGGCTGCACTTGACAGAGTGTGGCATCAAGGAGCCCCAGCAGAACTGGAATCAATGGGTATCACGGGCAAACTCTCCAGTGGTTGGAGTCACACCTGACATATAGGAAGATGGTCATGGTTGTTGGAGGTCAATCATCTCAGCTCCAAGACATCTCTGCAGTAATTCCTTAGGGTAGTGTCCTAGGCCCAACCATCTTCAGCTGCTTCATCAATGGCCTTCCCTCCATCATTAGGTCAGAAGTGGGGATGATAGCAAGAGGTTCAGCATCATTTGTGACTCCTCAGATACTGAAGCAGCCCATGTTCAAATGCAACAAGATCTAGACAAAATCCAGGTTTGGGCTGACAAGCGGCCAGTATCATTCGTGCCACACAAATGCCAGGCTATGACCATCACCAATAAGGGACAATTTAACCACTGCCCCTTGGCATTCAACAGTGTTATCACTGAATCCCCCACTATCAACATCTTGGGGGTTATCATTGACCAGAAACTCAACTGGACTTACCCCATAAACACAGTGGTTACCAAGAGCAGGTCAGAGGCTAGGAATACTGCAGCAACTAACTCACCTCCTGATTCCTTAAAGCCCATCCACCATCTACAAGGCACAAGCCAGGAGTGTGATGGAATATTCCCCACTTACCTGGATGAGTGTAGCCCCAACAACACTCAAGATGCTTGACACCACCCAGGACAAAGCAGCCTGCTTGATTGGCACCACATCCACAAGCATCTGGTCCCTCCACCACCGATGCTCAGTAGCAGCAGTGTGTACTATCTACAAGATGCACTGCAGAAATTCACCAAAGATCCTCAGACAGCACCTTCCAAACCTACAACCACTTCCATCTAGATGAACAAGGGGAGCAGAGATATGGGAACACCTTGGTGGTGGTGGCTTGGAACATCCAAGCCACTCTGACTTCGAAACATATCGCTATTCCTTCATTGTTGCTGGGTCAGGATCCTAGAATTCCCTCCCTAACTGCACGGTGGGTCAACTGGTGGACTGCAGCGGTTCAAGGCGGCAGCTCACCACCACCTTCTCAGGGGCAACTAGGGATGGGCAATAAATGCTGGTCAGCCAGCGACACCCACATCCCACAAATGAATAAACAAAAAGTCCTGAAGTCTGTATTATATGCTTGCTTCTAGGATTAAGGGCATCTGAGTAATAGTTATTCTATTTACCTCCTCTCCTCTTTTTCCCCTTGATTTAGTACTTCTGAAAGACTGTTAGGGTCTTCTACTACAAAGAAGAAGGAAAAGTATTTATCCAACTCATTTGCCATTCCCTGGTTCCTCATTTTATCTTCCCAGCCTCATTCTCCAAGGCACCTATGTTTGCTTTGGCTTCTCTCTTTTTATACATTGTCCGCTGTCTTAATTTTACATGCAACTTTACAAAAAATTTATTTTCTCCCTTTTTTTTAATTTCTTGGTCATCTTTCGTTGGTTTTAAAATTTTCCCAATCCTTCAGTTTATCATTAATTTTTTGTCACATTGTATGTTTTTCCTTTCAATTTGGTACTGTCCTCAACTTCCCTGGCTACCAAAAGTTAGCTCATTTCCTTCCTGGAAATCTTCTCAAAGGGATATATCTTTGTTGTGAGCCACGAACTTTTTACTTAACCGTCTGCCATCATTCCTCAGTTGTTTTTGCTACTAATCTCTAATCCACTGCAGCTGGCTCTGTCCTCATTCCTTTGTAATTACCCTTATTTAAGTTTAGGACAACTGTTTCTGACCCAAGTTTCTCCCTCTGAAACTAAATGCTAAATTCTACCATGTTATGGTCACAGTTTCCTAGAGATTCTTTTATTTTGACATAATTTATTAAACCTGCCAATTTTTCCCATCAGCAGATCAACATTAGCCTGATACCTAGTTGGATCCAACATTCTAAGAAACTGCCCTCAATACACCCTATGAATTCTTTGTCAAGGCTAACTGCCAATCTGACTTTCCCAATCTACAAGAAGACTAAAGTCACCCATGATTAATGTATTACCATTTTGTACATGCCCTCATTATCACATGATTTATTCCCTGTCTTACTACTTGGCTACTGTTACAGGGCCTATAGACTACTGACTACTACTACTACTATTACTACCACCACCAGCAGCGTTTTCTTCCCCTTGTTATTTCATACCTCCACTCATCTTCAGATCCCAGATCATTTCTTGCTATCATACTTATTCCATTCTGTATGAAGATAGCTACTCCACCACCCTTCCCTTCCTGCTTGTCATTTTGAAAAGTCATATACCCCTGAATATTTTGTTTCTAACTTTGATCTCCTTGTAATCATGTCACCTTAATGACTATAAGGCCATTTTCATTAATCTCTATTTGTGCCATTT